ACCGGAGATTCTTAGCACTCCCTGCCCCGCCGTTACCATGGTCGCCACCGTAGCCAGGAATAGCGGGGCCGCCGGGGACTGGGGGCCGTTTATTATTGTCATTGCACCTGGGGGGTATATTGCCATAGTTGCCACGCTTGGCGAGCGGGTTGGCAACCGCAGTTTTTTTTATTGTTATTTTGGCTATTATCAGGAAGATGCTGCTGCCCATCTCCTGCTTGGTGCCGCAATATATAGATCCAATTCAGTATTTTTGCCTATTGACGTGTTGGCCGCTATCATTTTTTCATTATAAAATACTCCTGTCAGTCAGTTTTACGCGTTTCACAGGACATTTTTATTGTTTATATATAATTGTTTACACTAACCAAAGAAAGAAAGAAAGAAAACCACAGAATACTTTTACTCCTAGCGGAGGAAGAAACCTGTTGAAAACATACGAAAAGCGAAACTGTTTTACATACAAAGAGATACATAAAGGTGGCGCCGTCTTTTGATTGACTTATTCATGTTATTGAACTTACTTCATGGTTTTACATCCATCGCACAAATGACTCTGATTACAAAAATCGATTGAAACGCGTAATTTACATAATAAAAATCGATTTTTAATAAATCTACTTTTATTATAAAAAAAATCGACTTCGAAAAACCGATTATAAGAAAAAAATAACCGATTAATATGAAAATCGATTATTTTTCACATCCCTACTCTGTGGTAGTTCGTCTGTCATCTAAGCCTTGTTCGGAGTTGTTTTTCAGTATTACATAGGGATGTGACAGTGAGTGAAAAAAATCGATTAATAAAAAATCGATTTTTTGCTTTGTGATAGTAATCGATTTAATAAAAATCGATTTTTTATAAAAACTATAATCGATTTTTGCGAAAAAAAAGCATTTTATTCGTAAAATAATCTTCTGGTTTTAGAAATAAACTACAGAACAATTTTTTTAACATATAACATTGAACAATAAAAAACTAAAAATAATTACTGCCACAAATGTTCAGTGCCATTTAACAATTTATTACAACCAAAATAAACAGAAACGATAAATTAAACTAAGTTTTACGGATTTTATCGCGTTTAATTTAACTTTTTAATTCCCGACATTTCAGGTGCTTTACAGCACGCATGGTCACAGAGGGGACTGAGGTGTTTGACGTCCCTGTGTCATAGTTGAACCACAAATCCTCGCAAAAGAACACCGATTCCTACCAAGGATGATTCGCGAGGCTATCGAAATTAAAAAACATCCTAATTTCAATAGAGAAGATGGATGGGTGCTGCCATCTGCTTGGCATCCTATAATTAATAACATTAAATCCAAACCTAAGCATACCACTGTAAGACTTCAAGATACTGTAAGCTCATTCTGCGTAGATCGGACCAAAAATTAATATTCAAAAACTGAATTTAGCCAGGCTAACTATGACATCTGGACGTCAAAGACCTCAGTTCCCCCCGTGACCATGGGTGCTGTATAGCACCCGAAACGTCAGGAATTAATAAGTTAAATTAAGCGTGATCAAATTTGTAAAAATTAATTTCATTTAATGAGTAGTCTTCGCGTAAATATAAGAAATCATTAAGAAGCCATAATTTTAGTAAACGATAGTTTTTTTTAAACTAAGTTTGAACATACAAAAAGTCTAAATATCATTATGCCACTAATGTTCAGTATCATTTACATTGGATTAGAATGAAAATAAAATAAAAATATAATTATAAATAATCCGACGACAACCTTTTGATCTCAAAACTAAAATACAAAACAAATCTTTTTTAAACTTGTGTGAACAAAAGAAGTAAAAAAAATATTGCCATGAATTTTCAGTTAAAGACTTTAAAAACAATCATTTCACCAAAATACGGTTTCGTTTTTTCCTGACAATATTTCCTGCTTTCAAAAATAATCTTTCGGCTGGCGCGGAACTGGCCATCACTGAGAGGTGTTTAAAAGCCAATTCGGTTAGTTTAGGGAAAGTTCCTTCAGAGCTTCTCCATATATTGAGGGCATCTGCCATGAGATTTGATAGTGGTGCCGCAATATATAGATCCAATTCAGTATTTTTGCCTATTGACGTGTTGGCCGCTATCAGTTTTTCATTATAAAATACTTCTGTCAGTCACTTGTACGCGTTTCACAAGACATTTTTATTGTTTATATATAATTGTTTACACTAACCAAAGAAAGAAAGAAAACCACAGCATACTTTTACTCCTAGTGGAGGAAGAAACCTGTTGAAAACATACGAAAAACGAAAATGTTTTACATACATAGAGATACATAAAGGTGGCGCCGTCTTTTGATTGACTTATTCATGTTATTGAACTTACTTCACGTTTTTACATCCATCGCACAAATGACTCTGATTACAAAAATCGATTGAAACGCGTAATTTACATAATAAAAATCGATTTTTAATAAATCTATTTTTATTATAAAAAAAATCGACTTCGAAAAACCAATTATAATAAAAAAATAATCGATTAATATGAAAATCGATTATTTTTTAACATCCCTAGTATTACAGTGAATTTTGACTATTTTGGAGCTTTTTTGTTCATTAGTAAAGCGTAATTGAGCAAAAACAACATGACAAAGTGTTGCATCAATGGATGTAATTCAAATTCTCGTAAAAATGAAGAAGGATTGTCATTTTTCAGGTTAGTTGTAATGTTTTTTTATAATCATGTAAATTTTTTCGTGTGAATTGCGTTTCGTGTTCATGTTATGGGTTCTAAATCGTATTATCCGCTATTATCTAGAATTTTCAATGACTTATCATTTAAATCTAAAAAAGTAAACATTTTGATAGTTTACATTTTTCCATAGTGCTGCCCGTGCCCTTACATGCTGTCGTGTTTTGAAATTATCTATATAAATTTTAATAATAATATTAATATAATCCTATGATCAAATAACGTTTTAGATACGTAAACTGTATATTTAATCAAACGAGTAAGTAGTGTAAATCGTAAATTTTCTATAATAGTTTTTTCACCCAAAGATTTGATGAGGTTAAGATTATTTTTGATTGGTACTTAAGGATGCATAATATTTATTTTAGGTTGCCAAAGAATGAAGGCCTTCAAAAATTGTGGATTGATAATATAGGCCAGGAAAACACTTGCTGTAGTAAGAAGAATATGCTCCTTGCATCTTGAAAAATAATGTGTAAATAGAACGCTGGATGTAGTTCCGCTACAGGTTGATGTAGTTCATGTGTCTAAAATAAATTTTCTGACTAAATAATATTATTTCGTCACGAATAAATGATTATAATCAGTATACATTATTGTTATTTTAATTATTTTTAATCCTTACTCTTCTCGTTTACCTCCAGTATCCACCACCAACTACGCTTTTAGTGAAAGTCATTACAACTTGCAGGTTGTAAACACTATAAAATTGATATTTTGTGGTGTTAAACAAATAGGATATCATTAGAAATGAGTATGTAAGTGGAAGTCTGAAAGTGGCGCAGCCACCGCTATTGACCGAAATGTTGCATGGAAATTGTCGTCATATGGTATGAACATGAGATGCTGAAGATTGAGGAATACGTTAGGATAGTTAAACGATTAATGCATTGTGTGAACGGTGATATGGTTAGAAAGGGGCTGTTCAACTAGATTATATTACTGAGAAATAAATAATCTTAATTATCAAAAAGAGAAATGACGGCTAGTAACTATGTATGAAAGAATACATGCTCACAAACTTTAAATAAATCAAGATAAAGGTCAGTCTAATGCACGTTCATGGTAACTTGAACTGGTAACCGACCATTACGATAAAAAACAGTTGTGAATGTCAAATAGTTATGGCGGCTCGGAAGTTAAGTGCGAGTGCTAGTCCATGCAGATATAGTTGAAAGAAAAGTTGATGGTGGTTCAGATCACTGTACGTAAAGCAAAGCGTTGAGGTACATGACTAGCGCTCGCAATTAACTTCCCAGCCGCTATAAAGTCTATATATTTGATATAATTCACGCAACTTGGACGCATACCGAGGGGGCTGGTTCGATGTGGTGCAGGAAAAACTTGGGGGAGATTTCTGCCTAGTAGTGGGACAATATGGGCTGGACAAAAAAAAATCATACGAAGCGTAATACATTGCCTATAGTGGTGGTTTCGTTAATCTCTGCAGAGGAGAAAAAAAATGCATGCGTCGACCCAGGGATGCACGGATGGAGTGCCACGTTAGGTCGTTGCTCGAACTCTGTATAATAATCTGGTGCACGTCGTATACGTGTTCTGAAAAGAAAGGAGCTAAAGCTCCAATACATGGTGCTCTTTCCTTGATCTCTTCGCTCACTTTTGCCTGTTGCTTCACCATATCTTAAAGCAATTACAGTTTTCAAACTTTCCTATTCTGAGTTGAACGTAAGATTTATTTATTTATTATCTCAAAACAACTATCATTACAGGATTAACCCAATGCAATAATGTAGTGATCTAATATTTGTTTATTTAATATATACCTATGAGATCGACAATACTTCATAATTTATATAGAATCGATACCGAAAATATCGACAAAAACAACACTATTTGTTGTGGGTGGAGTGGAGTCGTCGCCATAAATGAGAAACACTCGACTTCAGATCACGTGACCACATCTGATATCCCCTATTTTTCTTATATCTATGTTCTATGGTGTCAACAACATGACAGTGACAGATTGTTTGGATGTCAATGTCAAATTGTTATTGGTTGGTTTTGCTCTCATAAATGGTTTTGCTATTTACCACATTTTACTGTGAATATACTATTTCTATTCTTTTGGTATGCATATTCCTTACCCAGAATTGATTTAAACTTAATTTTATGTTAAATCTTAAAATAAGTGTCGCATGAGTCTTAGAGAAAAATTATCGTTATTTTTATTTATAGTTAACTGGTACATTATAATAATATACTTCATATTCTAATAATTAAGAACCTATGCACTAAAGACTAACATTTAAATGGATTTTTTTATTCACAGGAAAAATGAAGAAGTACGCCAAAAATATCATATACGACAAATTACATAGAGGTTTTGTTCTAGTTTGTGTTGGTCTTACTCTGTATGGATCTGTTATCTTGGGTGATCATGTATACAAATATTTTAAATATGTAAGGCCACAGATACAAGCTTCTAAGGCAGCAGCGGAACAAGAGCTTTTATCTGAAGGATCATCCGAAAAAGTAGTATGAAGTTTACAATTCATGTAAAAATGTTAATATAAGTGTAAAATGTAAATTTTAATTTTAATGAGTTAGAAAAAAGTGTTGATAATAAAATAATATCTCAAAAAATATTTACGTATTTCTGTTCGTTAAAAACTTAGAGTTTATTGTTCTAATAGGTGACAACACTTCATAATTTGTGTCATATATGTACAAGATTAGTCCATAATATTATGTAAGAGTTGATGCACTACACAAACCGGATAGAGAAACTGATTTATGCACTAGTTTCCTAGCTGAGTGAACTTGTATCCAGCTTTGTGGACTTCAAAAAAGAGTAGATTATCAATTAGATTGGATGTATTTTTGTACATTACTAGCTGATACTTGCTCGCTTTACTCGGCACATGGATGTAAAATATCAGGAAAATTTTATTTTGATTGGATTATTGTAAAATCTGTCCTTAGTGAGCTGATTATACTAAATTTCAAGTCAATCGGGTGTATAGTTTTAGAGATCTTGTGATGAGTCAGTTAGTGGTGTTTATATATAGAGATAGATATGTTATGTGGTTTCATCATCAATTGTGACCAATTTTAATGATATAGGTTTTATTTCAGGGGTGGGTCATTAAAATTTAAAGGAAAAATTTTTCTGTTAGTGTTGGAAAAATAAGGAACAAATATTTTAATAATTTAGGCATCTTGTGATATTTCCCTTTTTTGTTTGTTTATTGAAGTGGGCATTTACATTTTATTAATAGACTAAATTTTTTAACCTTTTTTCGTAGACTAAGAAATGTTTTGGTGTTCTGTGCCCGAAAGGTAAAATGAACCACTTTTAAAGTCATTTTGGTGTTTGTCTGTCTGTTCGTCTGTTCATCCAGACCTCAAAGATCTCTAGCTGATGAATGAAATGAGTTAAAGACTTGTAATTTGGATATTTGGTGTAGAATATTAACACTACACAAAATATAGAATTAGAAATGAAATTGAATTATTTTTCGGGACAGGTTACATATGTACATGAAAAAGGAGATGAAAAATTTTATTCTTACCCTAGAATGGGGAGTATTGTCTAAAGCTAATTAAGTAAAATAGAAATATATTTTAACTCTTTTACACACTCAAAATTATATAAATGGCTTTTGTTAGGGGGTCTATTTTAAAAACCAAACTAGTTACCATATACAGTTTTTAAACAACAAGTACTGAAAACAACGATTTATTGTGTAGTTCATAACCTGTGACCAAAACAAATATTTTTAAGGGTTTTTATGGTTCCGTAGTTACACAACAAGGAACCCTAATAGTTTCGCCCTGTACGTCCGTCCGTCCACGATTTTGCTCAGAGACCTCAAGTGCTACAAATCTTTGGCATAGTTATAGATATTAATCATGCTTAGAAAACTGTGAAATAAAATCTTAAAAACATTTTTAATTTGGGTGCTTCCCATACAAGTAAATGGAGGATTTTTTTACCTGTCTTACATCATGTGGGGTATCGTTGGATAGGTCTTTCAAAAACACTCAGGGTGGTGAACAACATCTTTTGCGAAACATTTAGCTTTAAAGTGGTAGTTTTCATTAGAGTCATGCCAAAAAGTCAAGTCTCATCAATCAAATCAGTCAATTTGCATTCAAAATCGAAAAGTTTTTTAAATCTTTTTTGAAAACCAGTCCCTATAAAAGTAAAGTAAAGTTGCAGCCTATTTACATCCCACTGCTGGGCACAGGCCTCCTCTCATTTCTGAGAGGGTTTTAGGGCAAGGAAATGTCCGCCGCGCTGCCCCAATGCGTGTTGGTGAACTTCACATGTCTTCGAAACTATTTTTTTTCCTTATTTGTCAGACATGCAGGGTTCCTCACGATGTTTTCCTTCATCGCCGAGCACGTGGTAAATCAGCACTTAAAATTGCAATTAACAATTTTATTGGTGCCGGCGGGGATCGAACCCGCTTTGCTCGAGTACTGTGAAGCTTACAGCGAGCGCTAACCATCTAAGCTACCACGGCTCCGTATAAGTCTGATTTGAAAATAAGTCCTTCAGTTACAATCTTCCTATTTGGGCCCATTTTTAGTCGTTATAGCGGTCAAACCGCAAACTTACTATGTTCATTATCAAGAATGCCCACGTATTGTGACGGGCAACTACTGAACCCTACCTTTTTGTTACCATTGTGCGTGACCAGACGCACTTAGTCAGGTTTTTTTATTTTCTTTGATGGTCGGTATTAACCTTAGGCTGGCTTTCACTATGGGATATAATATATATTATATCCCAAAATATAAATTATATCCCGCGATTTGCTTTCACACTGTGAGATATCTTTTAACTAGTGTGCATTAGTCATTGGTCATTGGATTACCCCCTTTCCCCCGTACACCATTTTGCTGGGGCGCGGAACGGTATGCGGGGTACAGGAGGTGAAATATAATATGAAAATATCGCTCGGTCGATCGAAAAAATATTTATAGCTTGAGATGTAATATATATTATAGCTCAGTGTAAACGGTTCCATATGAAATGTATTGTGAGCTATATTAATTTATATCTCGAGATGTAATATATATTATATTATATCCCATAGTGAAGAGCGGGCTTTAGAACTATGATAAAAAAGCATTTGTAGGAAGTATAATGGGTATAGTACAGAGACTAATTTTGTAGTTAGGAATAATAATTAATTCGTTTACACGAATTAACTATCCAACTAGTCGAGGATAAACTAGTAACGGAATACGACAAACGCACCGTTCCACGTCAGAGCCAAGACTGTCTTAACGGCGGCCGCTCAGTCAGTTTTATACAAGCAGGACGGGCGGCAACGCAGGTCCGATGCCGCAGGTGTGCGGTACACGTGTCGTTTACAAGAATTCTGCCTAGCTAGACCAACGCCACCGCATCTACAACGGTGCAGGTGCCGTCACGGCCATATTGACATGCGTGCGTCCTCGCACGCGCTCCATACAATTTTAGTTATCTGTAACAACTGTAATCTGTAAAACATCGTTCGATTATCCTAACAAAACAGCGTCTGGTCCGGTCTATACTGACCCTTCAGACTCGGGTGATAATCAGTTTTGTTCCGGCAGTAAGCCCTACAAAACTTTAATCAACTTTATGCTAGATCGGAATGATTAGTCTGTAGCTTTTTCTATTTTCTCTTTTTTTTTTCCAAGTACTGTTTTCGCTAGTCCGGAATCACTATTCCCTATAGCTATATCACTGGACCGGCACAAAGCCCTGCAATGATTGTAAGAACTATTCTTTTTTTCTTAACCTCTTTTTTTTCAGTACTATTTATGCTAGTCCGGAATCACTATTCCCTGTAGCTATATCATTGGACCGGCAAACGCCCTGCAATGATAGTAAGAACCGCATTTTTTTCTTACTCTCTTTTTTTTCAATTCAGTATAGAACAGTTACAGACCAACCATACCGCAAACATGTCCCAGTCACAATCACACAAAAGTGTATCGTGAGGGACGTAGTGACACCATAACACCTAAGTATGTAAACCAACAGCAATTCGACACATATCCCAGTGCAGCACAGACCCGCCTCCCTGCAACTTCATGTTCCGTTCCTGCACTAGAATAATTACTTCGCTAGAGTGTTGCAACGTCTCTAGTATTTTCTAGATGCACAAACACGGCTACCTCTGACTGTCGCACGTCCTCGTGCGGTTGACAGTAAACATCATACAGTCTATCAGTTATCACCACCTGCTAACAGATATTAACTCTTGTTAAATATTACAACGGTCGACCATCCCAGACTTCATTTAAGTCATGAACGCGCCGATATGGCTACCTCCAGACAAACGCACTTCAGCTTTCCGTTCTGCTGCGTCCGTGCCACATTCGCGCCAGCGAGCCCTCGCGCCGTACTAGCGCTAGCGAATCGTCGCACTGCTTTGCAAAATTAAAAGAAATCGAGATAAATGTATTACGAACCATGGAATTCCGAGCTTCCAAAATTCATCACATATTCTCTTAAGAAACGGCAACTGTATGACATTTGAAAACATTGCAAAAAAAGGTAACTATGTGTAGAGACTGATACCACAACATATTTCGAAGGGAAGGAGGTAACTGCGCAAAATCTACGAAAACCGACCAAGCCTCAGACGTCCATTTACAGCGCCAAAGCACCATTTGTTCGGCGGCCCCTTGAATTGCCCTGCCGTAAGATCAGCCGGTAAGTTACCGCCTGTAGCGGTGTAGGCTCAATCTTACCAGCGCTCGGCCGTACCTGACCATGTTCGATTGGCCGTCACAGCATCTCCCTTATTGATCATTGTTGTAGAGACTTCTACGAATCCCTCGACATCAAACCCAATCTTGTCGACCACACAATATTCGGAGCAAACTGCAACACTGATCAACACATTAGAACACAAAAATTCCACTTATTATTTTGAATTCATACGAGTAGCAATTAAAGTTAATCCTTTATTTTGGTACATCCCTAAAAAAGTTTTGAACTTTAAAATATAGGAAATGATAATCATGTTTCGCGTGAACTATCAAATTACAACAAAACTTGAACAAGTTGAATGCAAACTAACTCTTCTAGAAAGCCTCCAACATTTCTTTCGACATTTGTTAACATATTTAGGTACATCAAGAAATACTTGCGGGTACTTTTAATACAAATCGAACAAAAGGATTTATCTTTTGGCTTAAATAATTTCACTTTATCTTTTCTCTACACTTTAATGATACAACAATATCGTAAGTAGGACAGAAAATTTCATAACGGTATTTAAAATAAAAACAGATTCATCAATGCGGAATGCATTATAGTCTTTGACAAATGTAATTAATATTCATACTATTCGAAGATTATATGTGGGCAATAATGGGGACTTTATCCCACTTCTGATGTAGGAAGTATAATGGGTATAGTACAGAGACTAATTTTGTAGTTAGGAATAATAATTAATTCGTTTACACGAATTAATTATTATTAACTATCCAACTAGTCGAGGATAAACTAGTAACGGAATACGACAAACGCA